ACGCCCGCCCGGAGCGCCCCGCGGTCGGGCGGGCCACTGTGGACGCCGACGCGGCAGCCCGCAGCATGGATTCGGACTCCGGCGAGCAGAGCGAGGGCGAGCCGGTGACCGCCGCAGGTACCCGGGGCGACTGCGGTCCGTCTGGGAGGGCTGGGGCCGGGAGAGGGGAGACTGGGGCAGGGAAGCGCGAGTCTCTCTCCGAGCTGCCAGGCAGCCGGTCCCAGCAGCCCTGTCTCTTCCAGCCGGGACTGCGCTGTGAGTTTGCTTCGGGTCTCTTCCCCCTCGGCGCTTGGGCGGCTCTCCACGCCGCCGGGTCGCCGGGCTGGGTGGGGGCGGGGAGGGCTCTGGAAATTCGCGTCGTGTAGTTTGCTGCAGCCAGGGTTGCAACACAGCTCAGCCTTTGGGATAACTTTCCGGAGCGCCGGCCGGGTCCTCGAACCCGAGGAGCCGGACATGCTGAGGAACAGGTGACCCGGCGCTAGGGTGTGAGCGGGGACTCCGGCCAAGACCGGCCTCGCGGATGGACGGGCAGAGAACCAACCACAGCCTGTGGTTGTGGCTCCCGAAGCTGTGGGACTAGCCGTGCAGGGGTGCAGGAGCCCCGCCGCCCCGCAGCCGGCGGAGGACTCTGCGCGGAGGGGTCCGGGTGCTGACGCGGGGGCGCACGGGGCCGGGCTTCGCTCTCCAGAGGCGCCGTTGGCTTTTCACAATCGATAGTTATTGAAGGTATGGGTGGATGCTTACTTAAGAAAAAATGAACGTCGTCCCCGCCGCTCCCTGACACTGAGCAAGAGAAGGCGGCCACCCACAGCCGTGGGGCGACTTACCGCCGGGATCTGCTCACCTCCACCGGTCCGCTCCGCCCGCCGCCCACGGGTCCACGCCCGGAGACCCGCTCGCCCCCTCCCCTCCACGTATCCGCGGCGCCCCGCGCCTGCGCGCCCTGGAGCCTACCCCTGGCGGCCGACCTCTGACCTTAGAGCTGTGACTCTCTGGAGACTGACCTGAGTTCCCAAACTAGCCCCTCTCCTTCCCGGCAACTAGGGGAGACACGGTCAACCCCAGTGTGGGTGTAGCAGAGGCAGGCTCAGGCACCAGGCGCTTTGCCAAGGACCCTACATGTATACAAATTCTCCTTCCTCACTGCACTTAACCAGGTGATTCGTATCTTCATTTTACGGGGGCTTCAGAGAGGTTGAGTGATTTATCTGTGTCCCAACCAGGGAGTAACAGGGAGCCCAGGAACTCCCCTTCCTGCATCACATCCCTCAGCCTCTCACAGGGTGGCTGTGGGGAGAACCTTCAGGTGGGAAGGAACAAGGTGGCGTTGAAATGGGGTGTAAGGCTTACTGTGTTGCAAGGGCTTTGTATAGGCATGTGTGGATATGGTTGCTAACCATGAGCCTTTTGCATCCCTGTATGTTTCTGTGACTATAAACACCAGGATTTTCACAGGTGGCATGTGGATCTCCTCACATCATTTAGAAGTGATGTGTGTATGTGCCTAAGTCTATTTCCAGAGCCAAAAGGGTGGGAGACATCACTGACACTGGCACTTTAATCTCTTAAATTCCCAGGAATTAACATGTACTCCCTGCCTCTACTCCAGATCTCTTTTGCTGGAGGATGGAGAAGTGAGGGGTTGGAGGGAGAAGAGAGAGAGGTTTAGGAGGCTCAGAGAAAGCAAGAAAGGGGAGGAAAAACCAGCTCTGGGGAGCCAAGAGGATCGTCAGGGCCCTTGTTGTTTCTTTCCCCAGTATGCCCAGGTCAGAGCGATTGGCCTGTGAGTGTTTGAGTGGGTTTGGGTCAGAGGCCACTCTGCACACCTAACAGTAGGCTTTGCCCTGAGGTCACATGGGCCCTAGGAAGAACAGGGCGGCCTGCTGGAGTGAGCTGTCGCCATTTGTTTGCTCCTTACGGTTTCCTTCAGTTTCTTTTTCCATCCTGTGCTTGAATCTCACAAGTTGAACATTTATTTGAATGTCACGGCTCTTCTGCTAAATGGCATTCCACTTCACTCATTATTTTCAGTCTTAAAGTATTCTTCTTTGTGACATGCTTCAAAACTAGTTAACTCATCAAGTTGCTGTGACAGGCTGCATCCTGTAAATGGAAACCCTGTTACAGCTTCAGACATAGGCTAAATGTATGTTATCCATAGGGGCTGACCTTTGTCACTATAAGGAACTTGGTGTTTATCTGTGGGTCCATTTCACAGTAATAAAACCACCTGCAGGCTAAATGGGTGTGTAACTGAGAAAGGAAAGCAGGGCAGTGGGATCTCCTGGAGTAAAGAACTTGGACTCCAGAATCAGAAAAACCCTAGTTTCAGCCTGTCCCTGATGGACAAAAATGCAAACTTCAGTTTCCCCCTCTGTAAAATGGGTATAACAATAACCCCCTCAGGAGGGTTGTGGGAGTTAAATAACATAAAAAATGTTCTTGCTAATCATTCAGCGAATAGTAGCTGCTCTTTTGGTTATTACCTGATTGAAGTTATCCTCAGACAACAGCTAAGTTATGTGCTCCCAGTGATTTGTAAAATGCAAATCACTAGACATGTGTAAAACAATTAGATTGTTTTCATTATTATCACATTCATATAATTGCCTACGGAGATTTGTTTTGAAATTTCTCCTTTTCATTCTCTTCCTCTCTCTAGTATACATGCATTTGCATTTGTGTTTGTTTGCTTATTTGGGGGAGGTTATTTCTAATGTACCTCTTCTCATCCTCATCTTTCAACTCAAGGCTTGAAGATGGGGATATTCAAACCAACTATTTTCACCATCCCTTTCCTGCAGCTCTCAGAAAAGTTGTAAAAAAGCAGAGGACTCCTTACCCAATCTACCTGCTAACCTGGAGATGGGAGGGGTTCCCTCTTTCATACCAACTCAAATAGAGAAGTGGGGTTAATCCCTCTCCCCACCTCCCCACAGGTGAGAATCTTTCCCTTTTAAAGTGGCAGGAGGTACCCAAAATGTGCTCATCACAGTCACCCTCCCTGGCAGAAACTGGCAGAAGAGTGAGGAAATGTCTATAGACCACCTAATCTTTACTGTATCCCTTTAAGGAGGTTTCCAAAGATCCCCCACTACTGACTGTGCATATCTCTCATGGAGCAATACCCTGCTTTGGAGGGTGAAAGAGAGAATGAGATTTGTCTGATCTGTGTTTTCTGTTTTTCAGGAAGCACAGGAAGATACTCTGTCATTCTGCCGCCTGTAGCTCCCCTCTGCTTTTCTGTCATTTTATAGTTCTTTCTATGATTAGGAAAGAGGCAGGGTTTATGGAACATTGGATTCATTCCAGAGACCCGACTTGGCAGTCTCTTCTTTGGCAAACCCACCATCTATCTCTCAAAAATCCTAGAGCTTGATGTATTCACTCTAGTGACTGAGTCTTTCGTAAGAAACAACAAGCAATTAAACATCATCCGTGTCAGCTTTTCCTCACGCTGGCTTGTAATACAGAGATAGATGAGGGGAGACAAGCTTTTTCTACTTATAGCTAGCTGGTTGAGGGTAGTCAAGCTGAAGGGACTTCTCAGGCTAGGTAGGTGCTGCGGGAAAACACTTCCATTTGGGAGGGTAAAAACAAGAAAACAAAATAGGGGAAAATAGCAGACCCTTGCTTGCTTTTTTTTTTTTAGATAATATGTTTATTTTTTTTTAGTTAATATGTTTATTTTGTGCCTTTTTCCATCTCAGTTGTAATCCCCGTGGGCTTTCCATCACCAAATCACCCATGTGCCATCACCATAGTTCAGTGTACTCTCCCCCTCCCCATTTTTTATCCCATTCCCCACTTCATCCCTGTAAAATGACTCTGCTGTATAGTTGTTCACTACTATTATTATTTTCTCCCCTGGTACTTTATACTCCTGCTGTGAGTGAAACCATCCAGTATTTTTCCTTTTCTTTCTGGCTTATTTCACTAAGCACAATCCCTTCCAGCTCCATCCATGTTGCCACAAAAGGCATGAGTTTATCTTTTTGATTGCTGGGTAATATTCCATTGTGTATATGTACCACATCTTTTTAATCTGGTCATCTACTTTTGGGCATTTGGGTTGATTCCTTGTCTTTCCTATTGTAAATAAAGCAGCAATAAACATGGTGGTGCAGGTATCTTTTTGTAACTTTTGGGTAGATACTTAGGAGTGGGATTGCTGGGTCATATGGAAGCAGGCCCTTACTTTTGCCCTCCCCTTTCCTCCTCTCCTTGGGACCCAAGGTTGGTCCATGTGAACAAGGTGGCAGGCAGTGAGTAGGTTTCAACAGATGGCAAAGAAGAAGAAAGGCCTTCGAGAAGGTAGACACCACTTGAGCAAATAGTTCAGAGGGCAAGTTATAAGCAGCATAGTAGCTTGGTCCTGATGGTGCCGAAGAAGCCCCCATGGATCTGACTGTTGAGCAGAAGAGCTAGGTTTTTAGAAGCCACATGTGGTGGATGTGAGGTGTAGGACTGCTGAGGATTAGAGCCCCAGCTTCTGGGGTGTGGCCACAATATTCTCTCTCTCCTTTCACTGCTTCTGTACAATCTGTCACCAAATTCTGTTCATTTGTTTCTCTGAAATGGCATTTGCATCCTTGTTCTGCTGCTTTGCCTTAGTGCTCCTGCCCTTCCAGGGCTGGGGAGATAGGATTTGCATACTGGTGGCCACAGTCCCGGCCAACAGGAACCTCTTATCCTGGGACTTCACTCTGGCTACCTCGCTGCGTGCTCTCCCTGGACTCTATCCTCTTTCCACTGTGTGCTGTCCGGTTACTCCTGAACATGTCTCACCTCTTATGTTGGTCTATAAGCTCTGCAAGGACAGGACTGGACTTTTTCATCTTTATCACCTCCTCCCAATACCACAGGTATCCTCAGCACAGTGGAAAGTTCCTAGCTGGTTGAACGGCTGGCTGGATAGATAGACGCACACATGGATGGCTCATTTTGTTGGTTGGTTCCCCATCTTCTGAGATGGAGGTTAGCACATACAAAGTTTATTTGGGATTGCGTTTGGGAACAGTGCCTAAAGAAGGAGGGGTTGGGAGAGATGCTAGACAGCAAGAAGCTGAGCTTCAGGCCTCAGGAGCTGGAATGGCATTTTAGAACTATTCCTAGTT